ATAGTCGGCACTATAAATATGTAGATAAAAAAGTTTCTGTAAAAAAATAATTTAAAAAGAAATTGGTAAAGTCTAAGAAAAGTTCGGTCTTAATTGCTACATTGCTTTTTAAATGTTGTCATAGAAAAGGATGGAAAGTCAGAAGAATGTGGACATCTAGAAAGTTAGTTGAAGTGGTCAGCTATGGCCAGGTACAAATTAAGTAATGTCCTGTTAAATGAGGTTGCTGCATATTGATCCTGCCAAAGTTACCCAACATTTGTGTCGTCTGATGAGTCATCACTATGATTTGTCCCTAAGCCAGGATGCTTAAGCATTAGCTGCCAGGTCTTTGAGGTGTTCCATGTTTCTCCTTTCTTTCCTTCTACCTTGCACAAATCCAGCAATAATTTTAGATTGGACAGTTGTATTACCATCCTGAAAGGAATAGGGTCTCCTGTGAGTGGAGCTCAACTCCAAAGATGTCCATGTAGCATTCATGGCAACAAAATGGATGTGTTGCACTGCTCTCTTCTGGGACTTGTTTTCCCCATTTCACACCAATCTGACCTATAGCCCTTGGGTTTTCTGGTCTCCTGTTCAAGGGCCAGAAAAATACTGAGAACCAGTTTGGTGTAGTTCCTACAAAGGTGCAACTGAGCAAGAGTTAAATGCTCCTTCCCCACCTGCTGGGCTTAGGCTCAGGTGGTAGTTCCTGAGATGGATGAAGGAGATCTTCTGTCTGATCTGTTCTTCTGTTGGAGGATAGAGCTCTGTGTCCCAGACAACTAGGTAGTGCTATTTGATGAAGCCAGCTGTCCTAAAGTGAGGAGTAAGCTGACTTGAAAGCCAGATCAGACACTGGAATGAGGGCAGTGGGATGTCATCCTGTCCTTCTCAGCTTTATATGTTTATACAACATGCTTCACATTACTGAGTTAATCTGTTTTCTGGCTTTGTACAATGCATGGAGTCAACCAGATGGGTTGGGTTCATACCACACTCTAAGCCAGAAAAAAATAAACCAAGGTTAAAACTAACCAAGCTTAGGATGGTGCGTGAATGCAGCTGGAAGGTTGGTAAGTGTTCAGTTTTAGCGTGCTGTGTGGCTATAGGAAAACTGTAGCTTTCACAGCTACTTTAAGAGAAGGGTAGGTGAAATAATTCCATCCAGGAAATGTTGTTTGGTGCTAAACCTTTTTTCCTCGATTAGATAATGTAGCACTTCATGCTACACTATGTTGATTCTTTAATAACCACAATTGCTATTTCAAACTTTGTGGCTTTACAAGCTACCATGGCTGGGTTCACACATGCTTAGTCAGAACCCATCCAACCACATTATTGTTTAGTTTGTTCTTGGGTTCTAACTAGGTGTGTTTCATGAACTCTGTCAATTGTGGTTTATTCAATAAACCAAGCTTAAGCAAACCATAGCTCAGCAATATGAATGAACCCAGTCAGATACTTAGTCCCCGTTTCCTAATCTGTAAAATGGGAATGATGGCCCATTTAATTTAACCTGACTTTTGACATGTTAATCAGTTAGAACCAGATTTCATCAGTCCATACGTTCTACACTTTGAATTAGTTGAACTATTGGCATTAGCAAATCCTTATAAATGTGATACTACTATGGGCTTTAGCCAATGTGATTAATCATTAATTCATTAATTCACAAGACGAACAAGCCAAAGAGCTGCTGTTTCAGCAAAAGAAATATGAGTAAGCCTTGATCAGGAATAAAAATGGACCAATGTGGTTTTCAAATATAAAATTCAGAAATAGAAATAAAGAGGTTTTCTTCTTTCTTATGACCAAACCACTAATCTTGGCAGTGGAATTTAGCAAATAATATTCTTCAATGGAATCAACCAAGCTTTTTCCGGCATGATGAACAAGAAGTTATTTTCACAAAGTACAGCTGGAAGATTAATGATTGATAGTTTTGGGCTCAAGAGTTTGTGGCTCAGATCTGGGCAGGGGGAAGGATTCTCTCCTGTATAAATGAAGCCACTGCCAGGAGATGCCCCACTGAAGCACCCAGCAGCGTGGCCAACATGGCGTTTGATGGCACATGGCAAGTCTATACCCAAGAGAAGTATGAGGAGTTCCTGAAAGCAATTGGTAAGCTACAGGTGGCTTTTGCCCCAAAGAATGGGACATCTGAAGCACCATCTGAGGTTTTTACTGGGGACCTGGTCCCCTCCTGACTGAGCATAGTGTCCTTTGGGTAAGAGGACAACTGGAAGGCTAAGCAACCTGCAATTAGGAGCAAGTGAGGACAGTCCTACAGTGCAGTTACTCAAAGTCAGGGAGGGAGGAATGGTCCTTACCTTTAGCTAGATTCTCCTAGCTCCTGCTCTAGGAAAGAAATGAATGAGATACAATTTTGTTAAATCTGGGATGAAAAGGCTAAGATGTTGTGGTTACAGTTTCAGGTATTTGCAATGGTGTCCATAGGGTGTGGTCAAAAATGTGAAATGGCAGTCAAGACTATGCAATCAAAGCTTTGCCCATTTTCTATGTGCGTTGCACCCCCAAAACAAACCCTAGAGATTTGTGATCATACTTGACTTTTTTTTTACCCCACCCTGAGGAAACCCTTGAATATTTGGATTTAGTGAACAGCCCTCAGGGAGCCAGCTTGGTCTAGTGGTTAAGGCACTAGATTAGGAGCAGGAAATTGAAGTTCTAGTTATGCTTCAGACATAAAAACCAGTAAGAGACTTTGGGCCAGTCCTTCTCTTTCAGCCCTAGAAAAAAGGCAAAGCCAAACTATTTCCAAAAACGTTGCCAAGAAAACTGCATAGATGTCTCCGTGTAGTTGCCTGGCGTCAAGACTGACTGAAAGGCCCCTACACACACATACACCTTTCTGTCTGCTTCCTTTTTAAACATCTCATACCCTCCAACAAAATAGCCATGCTTCATCTTTGTCCTGGGTATACTGTATAGGGGGGCTCATTTCTGCATACAGAAATCCTTGACTTGGATCACAAGGCAGGCTTATTTCAAACCACCAAACCTCTTGGACATCACCAAGTGTAGAGCCTGAATCAGAGATGACTTTACTACTTTACCAGCTACAGTCAGAACCATCATTCTTCACCTGATTAGATATTCAGATTATTGCATTTTTGACTAGACTTGCCCACAATTGAAGGCCACACTGCAGTTCCCACAGCATAGCTAAAGGTAAGAGGTGTTGTGGTCTGATACATCTAGAAGACGGTTGGGGAAAGCTGGTTTAGATTTTTTATGGAGATCCTTCCACTTCAACTGCTCTTTTCCTGCAAATATCATAATCTCTCTTATTTCTAGAAAGTGTGATTCTTCATCTGGCACAGAATTAATATATGGAAGTTTCCATTAAGGGAGGTGCTGTGGATATCACTGGTTAATTGGTATTACAAGACCAGCAGAAGAAGACTAGAAGCGTCACACTTGTCTGGAAGACTTTGAACAACTATCAAAGGAGAGCAGGATGCTAAGCTTGAAGGAGTCATTTCCAGCACTGTTTCTCAACCTTGGCAACGTTAAGATTTGGGGCTTCAGCTCTCAGCATTCCCCAGCCAGCAGGGTCTCCTCTGAGTTTTGCTCAACTCCTGGTGACTTCTAAAGATGTCCATGTAGCATTATTGGCAACAAACTGAAAGCCTTGCACTGCCCTCTTCTGGGATTCCCACTCTGCTCCATTTATACCAGTCTGGCCTACAGTTCTTGGATTTTCTGGTGGTCTCCTATTCAAATACCAGAAGAATGCCAAGAACCAGTTTGATGTCATGATTAAAGGGAAAGGGTATTCTGGGAGTTGAATTCTACACATCTTAAAGTTGCCATGGTTCAGAAACAGTGATTTACAGCACCATTTTAAACCTCTGAGATGCTCAAAGGCTCAACATTCATCTGAGCCACCACACAGACCCACATACTTTCTCTCTCTGCATCCTGTGCTCGTGATTGTTTTCCTCCATTGTGTTAGCCCCTGAAATCCACGTAAATAGGAGTGTGTGGGAAAACCCCAAATACTGAAAAAGCTCTTGAGATTATAGGTTTACAGATGATTTTGCCTCATTGAATGAAAAGTCTTGATCTGCCTGGTCACTTCAAATATGTAACACTACTTGGGATGTAGCTGCCTTGACAGGTGGAGCCTGAATCATTTGCTCCCATCGCTCTCCGTGCCCTCCCCAGTCCCTGAGCCCTTTGATTTATCCAACAGAGCTTTTTAAAAATGCTTTGTTTATGGCCACTCATTTCAGTGCCTGTTGCTTAACAAAATACCCCTTCTTCTCTCCCATCTTTCTCAGCCCTGTCAGACGATATCATTAAAACCGCCAAAGACATCAAGCCCATAACTGAAATCCATCAGACCGGGAATACTTTTGTCATCACATCCAAAACCCCCAACAAATCTGTCACAAATACGTTCACACTGGGAAAAGAAGCAGAAATGACCACCATGGATGGGAAAAAGGTCAAGGTGAGTGCAAGCAAACAGCAGCAATAGGAGCTGGGTCTTTGATAGTTCAGATATATCTGCATTTTGACCTGGGGACTGTCTCTGTGCTTTGGTGCCAAGATCTCCAGAACTGGCACTTTGTCTGGAAAGTGTTGGTGAAGACCCTCAATGGTCTTCTCACAACTCTAATCCCCAGCCAACCTTCTTTGATGGAAACTGGACAGTTGTAATCAACAGTACCAGGCAGATAATTTATCTTGTGTTTTGTTTTTGCAATTTGTTTAGGAACTTTTTTTCAAAGCAGAAGAAAAAAATTGAGAAATTCTTCTAAATGGAGTGTGTGGTGCCTTTATTTAGTGACAAAATGGATAACGATTTGCTTTAAAATGTCCTGTCTTTAGGTTCTTCTTACCTGGGCTTTGCAGCTTCCCCGATTTCCCACCCCTTAATTAAATCCCAAGGGAAGATTTCAAGAGGGAACTCTACCCATGAAACTTTTTCAGTAGAGGTACTATTGTCCCCACTAAGGGAGAGAATCCTACCCTTGAGAACAGGTTAAAGTTCTCCATTCCATGGAAAAATTTGGAGAAACCATCCACTGTGGTTTTTGGTCACAAGTTTTGTGGGGAATTTGAAAAGATCATTTTTGCCCTGGTTGGTCTTGAAAAACTAAGTGGCATCAGACTTCTATAGATAGGAGACCACCACAAAACCCCACCAATGCAAGCTAGAATGAGAACAGAAAAAAACAGTGGCTAACCACTGCTGTACTGTTGTCAAGAACCCTAGAAGGACGTGTGTGAAATTACCGGGGCCCAGCTTTGTTTTCAGGGAGTCTGAGCTCATCCTGAGAGCCACTGTAATGTGCTTTCCTTCAAACCCCCCCCCCCCCCCCCCCCCCCCCCC